ACTCAAGATTCACTTTCTAAGCTCAAATCTCTCATACACAAGCTAGGGTTTCGTTTTAGGGTTTAGACGGATTGGAGGCTTTATGAGGGAATGTCCAAAGGATGGAAAAGGTGATTAAATAGGGTCACATCGTAGAATTTAGGGTTTGGAAGCAACATGAGTACGCTCGGCGTATGCCTATGTATGCCCAGCGTACTCAATTTTGAACTGTCCCAAAATTTGGTTTGACTTACGCCCTGTGTACCCTTGTACACCCAGCGTAAGGAACTGATCTGAAAACTTAAGAATAGAGAACTCCATCTGCCCTTCCAAGAAGTTGAAAACAAAGTACATGTAAAATTAGTTGTGTATCTTGACTTGGTTTATCTTACAGGTTCTTTTTTTTTAATTTTATTTAACTATTGAGTGCTTTCTATTTCCTTAGTTTGATTATACTTCTAATTATACTTCATCTATTCAGGAATAATTAAGTCAAAGATGCTTCCATGGATCCAATCAAAGAGGCTTTACCAATTTATGTCAATATCAAGGTTTTATATGATGTGTTATTTTATAATTATTCCATGCCTTCAGTTGATTGGTGTTGAATCTTTACTAATTTTACATTTTATAACAGGACATTCAAGTTTGGATTCTTATGTTGCTTGTTGGTTTGGACTGAATTGATCAAAATCGATTCAGACTCTCAATAACTTCAAAAGAGCATTTAGTGATACTTTCAAGTGGTGGACAAGGGTTTGCAGTGGCTGGCTCATAACTGCACTGCAAAGTTCAGCACACTATTGGATGAACAATGTGAAGGTATAAATCCAATTTTACCTTATTGCCCATTTGTATTCATTTATGTTCTCATTGACAATGTAAGACACAACTGAGTGATGCTAAACATCTGTATATTTTGTTGTGATTTCTTAATTCTTTTTAGCTATGGTGGAGATACTGAATCTTGTTTTACTCCAAGTGTACTGAGAAATAGCAGATTACTTTAAGTTCTTAATCCAGGTATGATCTATTAAACATCTTTATACCTTGTTGTGTGTTATTAATTCTTTTTGTATGTATTATTTTTATTTATTCTCTAGGCGTTTTACTTTCAAAAATCTTCCAGTTGTATCAACATACTTCTCTTTAAAATGTCAACCTAATAGAAGCATTGCACTTTATTATTAAGACATCTTACATTAAAAAAGCATTACATTTTATTCTTATCAAGGCATTTTACTTTAAAAATCTACCAAGTATAGCATTGTAGTTTTCTTTGAAAAAGCAATCCAAATAAAGCATTGTGGCGTGACCATGGAGACGGACGGAGACACTGCATTTGATTGGTTCCCTCATATTTCTCTCTTTATCTCTTTCTTCTTTTTGAACTTTCACTACCTAATCATCGGTGCATAGCATTTCTATAACTTGGTGGGTTGGTTGTGGAATAGTAAAATATCCACGTGGCATCACCTTTATTCACAAACCACGCATGGTAGACCTGACAATTCGTGTATTCGTGTCAGGAAAACGTGTCAGCCACGAATTTGACACGATATGTGTAACACCGTGAATTTTTCATATAAAATTTTCATTTGGAATTACAAAATCCTCATAACACGTTTCACAGAATCTCATTTATTTAATTCACAAATCACATCACTATAATTGTTTGATTAAAATCCAGGATCCTCAAATTATAACTCTTTCACTGATGTATACAATCAAGCCGGTACATTCCCGTGATCCTGAGGAAAACCTGAAACACATAACACATAACACGGTAAGCACGAAGCTTAGTGAGTCCCCCAAAATACCACACACATCTCATTAGCCACTCGAGGCTAACTCGAAATGACCCTCCAGTCAATGTGTTCCAGTGGAGACCCTCCGGTCCCACAACTCGGGTGGACCCTCCGGTCCTAACTCAGCAAAGCATAATCACAATCATAGCATAATCACAAAGCATGATGTATAATAAATAGCACATAACTCAACGTAAGCACATATAACAACATTTACACTAAATAACATAACAGCATAAGTCACAAAGACAGTATGTACAATAATCATTATCACAGAATAACAATGATCAGGTTCTGAAGTTATGCAAAATAGTTATTAGACTTATCCAAGTGGGAGACTGTTGGATTAGTGTCTAAGTCCATAACTATTTTGGTATGTACTTGACCCGATTATGAGCATGGTCCTTTTGGGTTGCCTTCACCATAGCAATATGTAGGATGAATTAACGAGAGAAAGGTTTAATTATGATTTATTAATATATTATAAGACTAATATATTAAAGGAGAAATCATAATGTTTAATTAATATTAGTCAAGAATTAATTAAGAATTAATTTTGTGACTAAAAGAGATTAATTAAATTAAGGAGACTGATATTGTAATTATAAGATAGTTACAAAGTTGGGCTTAGGATCCATTGGATGGCAATGGACGAATTCTATATGGAGGACCATAAAGAAATCGTCCAAGGGCCTTCTGGAATGGTCCATTGGACTGCTTAGGGCTTAAGCAGTCAGATTAGGGTTTCCTAGTTGCAAACCCTAATAGCCTACATGTATATATAGGACCCCTATGCCCCAAAAACGTGGCTAAGAGTCCCTCTAGGGTTTCCAGCCGTTTTTGGTGCCTCCTCTCTCCTCCCTCTTCATCCAAGTTGCTTAGTGGTGTTTGTGACTCCATTAGAGGTGCAACACTTGAGGCACTAAGCTTTCTGAAGTCAATCAAAGCAAGGATTGATTGTTATTGCTATATATAATAATCAAAGGTAATTACTAAACCCTTATTTCAGTTCTTATTTGATAGATCTAGGGTTTGTAAGTCTTGGATTCATTGCATGTACAATAGAGAAACCTAGATCCAAACATTAGGGTTTGTATGAGCACATAGGATTGTTCTTATGCATAAAATCTATCATAATAAACTATCCCCCGTATTTATTTATTTATTGCTTTTAGATTGTGGATTGTGTGTAACTCAATAGGCCTATGTATTTATTAAGAGCGTAACTAATTTGTTGTTTTAGTGGGCATATCTTTAAAACATATATTTTTTTTAACGACAAATCTAATCTACTACTTAATTCCACCTATGTTCATGACGGGACTTAAACTTTCAATCTCAAGGAGGAAAGGCAACACCTGATACCGTTGGGTTAGAAACCCTTTGGTCTTCACACATACATCGTATAAAAAGATTTAAAACCATGCAATAAGTGTTCGGCATACAAGCGCGGAGCTTATTAAGGGCCACCCCCCCCCCCCCCTTTTTTTTTTTTTGCTTAGAAGTAGTAGTAGCCCACTAATTTTTATGAATATTAGACCCAACCCTCCCCCCCCCCCCCCCCCCACACACACACACACACACAAAAATATTAATTGCTCTTTTCTAAAGTTGCTTTAAATAAAGGACCAAAACACACATGAGTGCTGACTTATTTGTCTTCTTGGTTATATGATATAGTTGCATTAGTTTGAAGATTCACTTAATAATGCAAAGAAGAAAAACAAGTTAAGCTGTAACGGATTCAACTGATTCAACTGATGCCGTACACTTTCTTATTCACTTTACAAAGCGCATTCGGTTTACAAAACGCAGATAATTAAACTTTTTGGTTTCAAGCAACCAAATCTCCTACATTTAGGATTAGACATTTAGTGTATATGACCAATCCTGGAACACAGATGATCTACACACATAAAGAAGTAATGTTTAAGAAGGCTAGATACCAATGAGCGCCTTTGAATCCACTCAGAAAGTTTCAGATACACTATTGTGGAAATGGAATGTCAGAAAGATCCTCTCTATAAGGAGCATTTGTCAACTCTGGTCTTCTATCAGCATCATTTCCACTTTCCATGCTATCTTGAGCAATAGGGTCACCTTTTGATGGCTCAATATATGTAACCACAACATCCTTACGCAACATAAGGTAGATCACTGAGAGAACATAAGCAGCCATGACCGGAAAAACTAATATTGCAATAAACACATTAGCCACTTTTGGCCAAGTGCTATGGATTAGCCAATCGACAAATGCAGTGCTCAAGTAGTAGATGTTGATGCCAATTATTCCAAGTCCTAGTGCCCATGAGAAGAGAATGATCTGTAGAAGAAAAATAATCATATTATAAATGAATTTCAGGTATACTTGATTTACGAAATTGAAACTCACAAATATTGAGTTCTTGTGAGGTCCCATTTTGGTACTTGAGCTACTGAACTTGAGTAGTGGAATGAGTGCAAATGGAAGTTCAAATGACAGTGTCATCTGCAAAAGATCCATACTTACATTAAAGTCCAGTTTCAATGAATCATGAATATGCTTACCTATAGAATGAAACTTTAAAGATGGAGTCACATACAGATGCTATTATAATTAGTCTTCCTTCTCCAGAAGGCCCCCCAATTATTTACACTATTAGACTCGGTGTTATGGCGATGCACCTAGTTACCAAGTTCCTGAGCCATTTCCTCATTTTTAAGTCCAAGAAACCCTAAAATAACAAATAGTACATGCTTAGTGTTAACCTTGATTATTAACAGCAGAAAGTTATAATAGGCAAACCCAATAAAGACCTCTTTTAACCTACCGACATAATGAATTGTCCAGCATAAGTGCCTGTGATTGTTGAACTCTGACCAGAAGCTAGCAGTGCAATTGCATAAAGAGTAGAGCCGGACTTTCCCAAAACATTCTGTGTAGTAAAAACCGGGGTTAATTATGAGAAGTTTTGTGAATGTTGTTGGTATAGAAGTTATAAATTTGACATCTTATAAGCTCATACTTTTAGAAGAAATGAAGCTGAGTTAAGGTTGAGATCGTTGCAACGATCCATTTCTTCACTTGGTAGGTTTTTTTCTGAGCAAACAGTGCCAGAAACAGCGATCATTGAGACGTTGATCAAGAATGCTACAAAGAGCGCAATGCCACTCTCTATCAAGAAGTATCTGCATGCATCCTGTAATTCAAAACATCATCATGAATAAGAACTCGAGTTGGTATCTTTCGAGTAAGAACAAGAGCCGAATGGAGAAACAAGTTATGCCTATTAAAAAAAGTGAACTTAATGTTAATAAACCAAAGTAGATTTAGGGAATATAAATATATGAGAAATAGGTTTTTATTTTTTATTTTTTGGGAGTGGGATCTTACGGCATGACAAGGGCACCAAGTAGAGCAATGGCATCACCAGTGGCGCCTTGACCACTAAGTTTAGGAATGAACATTCCCTATAGCAAATCACCAGCTGGTGGCTTCACATAGCTCATTTCTCCAAAGAAACAACCAGCCATCAGAAAAACTAGAATAGCTATCAATATTTCAAGCTTCCTCACCTATGGATATATGAAACCAACATTCCATGTGTTTTCATATTAGGAAACACCAACTATGAAAACATCAAAAGAAAACGAATCATGATTGAAGTTCTTACACCATATTTTTGGAGGCCAAGAAGGAGGAGGGTGCTGAGACCAGTGAGAGAACTCCAACCCAAACTGGAATCTTGAATAAGATATTCAGTGCAAAAGCTGTTCCGATCACTGCAAACATCAAAAGAAAATGAATCAAAATATTATTAAAAAAAAGTTAAATCGTATGTTCACATCAGTTTCATGGATATGCATGATTAAAATTAGTACCTTCGGGAATATCTGCTGCAATGACTGCAACCTCGGCTAGCAGCCATAGGCAATACTTGACAAAGATAGGGTATTCAGCCTTACACAACTCTGATAAATGTTTCCCTGAATAACAGAATAACTAAAGTTTAGATATTTATAATTATTTCTGGATATATAGATAAATTCATAGGTCTAGTTCAGTGAATGTCTTACCAGTGCTTACACCAAGATTGGCAGCCAGAGATTGAATAACAAGTGCAAAGATTATCCCGATCAAAATCACCCAAAGTAGCTGAAAATAATGGTGATTTTTTTGAACTACAACTATGGTGTTTCATGGAGAAAACGTTTACCTCGTATCTATGGTTGGCTCCTGCCTGTAAATCGGTTTCCACTGCATAAAAAACATTGATAAGTTTACAATGATTAAGATATATAAGTTACAATGAGAATATGAGATATTGAGAAATCAAAACTTACTGTTGCCAGGATCGAGATAAGCCAATGACACTAGGAAACCAGGTCCAACAAAGGAGAGAAAACTTTTCCATCCAGGTTTCTGCATATTATATGGTTATCAAATTAATCAAACTGTTATTAAACAAATAGAAACTTCAAACATATGGTTAGATATCAATCTTGAAATTAACGTTTGTGAGGGTGGAAAGAGAGTGAGAGAGAGAGAGAGAGAGAGAGAGAGAGAGAGAGAGAGAGAGATCACCTGATCATGGTCGATATCTTTATGATCATCAAAGTCTTTGGAGTTGAGAACAGAAAGATCAACAGCTGAAACACGATTGCTCCCTCCTGTAACTCGTGGTTCATGCTGCAGACTTGCCATCTCTGTCTCTGTCTTTGTCTCTGTGGGAATGGAGAATCTATATATGTGAAGAATCTCAGTATGAACAGATTTGATGGTAAAGGATTGGATTGAGTATGCTACTTATACTAGAGTTCTGCACATCACTCATGGCTACTAGAGTTCTAGTTCAAAATGTTGCTTTCAGATTTTGAGCATGTCCATGCCGTTTGCATTACAAAATGATGCATGGCTGCTGGAGTTCAAATTCTAAAGGTTGCTTTCAGTTTGTGGGCATGTCCATGCCGTTTGAATTAAAAAGGATTCTGAGCTTCTCCCTAACCCCCTTCTACCATGAGACTGAGACACCTCTTCAGCTCTTGTATTTTTGCGCCTCTACCTTTTGTCCTTTATCTACGTCTTTATCCACTCTATCACCATCATCATAAAGGTACCCACATCGCTCCATCTCTCTCGCTCTCAACCCCTAATCCCCACTGGAAGGAAAATTTGTGTCATCTCTTATCTCTATCACCGCCTGCTGCTCTGTGCTTCGTGTCTCTGAGGCTCAGGAGGGAAGAGGCGACAGAGCCTATGCTCCTTCATGTAGATTTTCTCGATATGTACTTCAAACTAATCATTCTCAATATTTTTATTTACCTATAACAAAATTGACACTTCACGAATTTACCAGAAAGTTGAAGACAGTATTTGCAGACAGAGAACTCGAAAAGGCAATGGCCCCACCATGCATAGAGCTCGCAAAGCTTTTCTCAGTAGCTGTAGATTTTCCAAAAACCCGTGTCCCCGCAGAAATCCCTGCAAATCTTCGTGTCAAAGAGTACCCTGATTTCATGGAAAAATCCAACAAAACAACGTACGAATCATATAACGTGATTGGGAAACTCTTTCGTGAGGTCAAAGACATCGCCCCACAAAACAGCCAGGTCAACCCGTTCACGCGTGACGTGGCGAGACAAACGTACGATGTTGACTTGGAAGTCAGCGGGTTTGAGTACTATGTTGATGAAGCTTTTGATTTTAAAACTGAGTATGATTACAAATTGGGTAATTTGATGGATTATTATGGGATTAAAACCGAGGCTGAATTGTTGAGTGGGAGTATTATGAAAATGTCGAGGTCGTTTGATGGGAGGAATGGTTTGGCTGTGAAGTCTTTGAGAAAGGAAGCGAGGAATTGGTTTTGGAAGGGTAGAGGCAATGTGGATGTTGGAGATGATGATGTGTATGCGAAAGCATCTGCATGGTATCATGTGACATATCATCCGGATTATTGGGGTAAATATAATGAGGATATGAAAACACGTGATCATTTTTTGAGTTTTCCTTGGTGTGTGCATGATAAGCTTATTGAGATTAAGAGAAGCAAGGGGAGGGTTAGAAGAAATGTTGATACTGATTGGCTTCAACAGCAGTTTAGCACTGCTTTAAATCTGATATGATTGAAGTTGTGTGAAGTCACTATAGTTGTCTTTGTTGTTTCTTGTTGGATTTAGTTTGAGTTGATGTAAATATTGTGGTTTTTGATTATTGTGTTTCTTGTAGGGTTTGATGTAAATATTATCAATGTTGATATATTTTTGAGATATGTAAGTAGTATCTTAATCTACTATATATACGTACACATAGATTATATGGAGTTGAACATAGATTATATGGAGTTGAACAAGAGGTGATAAAAAAAAAGTAATCGGTTTCTACTAATGCTTACCTAGATCCTTGTAGGATTGATGAAAATAATTTGACATCATGACTATAACTTTGGACTTTAGTGACTTTATTAGTTCTTAGGTATATTAGGTGGAATGTGTAGTTTTATTTGAAGTAAAGTGTTTGACAAAAGAAATATAAAGTCTTTTGGTTTGAAATTAATAAGATTTGGAATCCAGTTCCGCCGCATTTCCATGTTAAAGTTTATTTTTCTATTTGATTCAAGTTTTTAAAATGAATTGGAATCCTAAATGATTTTGACTTTTCATTAAACTAGGGAAACGAAATTCCAAAAACAGGAGGAGGGAATTAAAATCCAATTCAATAAGGAATGTTGATGATTACCATATAACATTTTTTATTTTTATCGTTATATATCAAAACAATATTATGTACTAAAATTAACAGGTCCTTGTTTTCTCTACTTTCTCTGACGACCATGTCACCTGTTGACGTCATCCCAAGATTGTTCCGACGAAATCTTCAAATGTGAGACTCTCCCTCCCCTCCCCCCCCCCCCCCCCCCCCTCTCATTGTTGCCTTTGTTGTGTGTTCAATATTTAAAATGCTATTATCATACTTGTAAAACGGTTGTTTGTTGTGCTCTATTGTAAAACCTTTTCTTCATGTGTAAAACAATTATCGGACGTGTAAAATAGTTCTATGGAAATTAGATTTGTTGTGTTCTATTGAAAATCAAACTTTGGTATTCTTTTTTAATTTATGTTAAATTTAAACTACACTCAATTTTTAAATGACACCTTACGTATCACAATATCCACCATTTAATTATTTTTTACACTCTCAATTTGATATGAATTTGATTGTAGAAAAAACATCATAAATGGTCCCTGTGGTTTTTCAAAATCTGAAGTTTAGTCCCCGTAGTTTAAAAACGTCATAGATGGTCCCTGCGCTTTCAAAACTTTTGATGTTTGGTCCTTTTTATTAACTCCGTTAGCTTTCTACCGTTAAACGAAGGGCATTTCCGTCATTTAACTATCCAATGACCTTTTATGAAGTTTTCTTTTATTTATTTATTTTCTTTAAATAAATTTAATAACCAAGGGTCTCTCTCTCTCTCTCTCTCTCTCTCTCTCTCTCTCTCTCTCTCTCTCTCTCTCTCTCTCTCTCCAACACGACCAAAAATAGCACCGCCCACCCCCATCATCTTCCTCCCCCACCCTTCATCAACAACTAAAACTCCAAACTCATACATACACTTGAAAAATTAAAAACGCATAACATGATGTTAATCCTTGTCTCAACATTAGAGGAACACCATAAAAATATGTTGAAAAGCTACTACAAAATCTTCAATGTTCAATATCCCCAATCTTCTTGAGTCTTGACAATTAAATGAAGTGATTTCTCCATATGGTTGATGTTTAAGAATTTCCATCCAGATCCCCCCCCTTGGGAAAAAAAAAAAAAAATTTCCAGATTTTGACTTTCAGGTTCTTTCTTCTTTTTCCTAGCCCTCATGCTCGCTGCCTTCATCTCCATAGCCAAATCCGACTGCCTTTCATCCTACTCCGATTACTTAAACCTAAAAGTAACAAAGTGGATTCAACCAAAGAGCTTGAAGAAGAATCAAAGTGTGGTTAACCCCAAATGACTTTTAGGTTCTTTCTTCTTTTTCTTCTTGTTCTTCCCACGTTTAACCCCAAATGAAAGATGATCATCGTCGCTATTTTTACCAAACTTCCCATCTTTCTTGAACCCATTTTTCTCGAAATTAAGATCAATGGTAATAAAATTAAAACCGGGCTTTGAGTTAACTCCTTTGTTAAACCCACCGTTGATCCCAAAATCACCGGTCTAGTTTTGATTAGTCGACCCGACTTTAAAGTCAAAGTTAAAACCATTAAAATCGGAGTTGGATGAACTGGAGTGGTTGGTGTTAATGGTGTTTGAGTTGGTGAAGTGACCGCCGACATGGATGTCGAAGTTTCGGCGTTCTTTTTCGGGGCGTTTGGAGGCGTATGAGGTGGCTCCAGATGGAGTCGTTAAGGGAGAGGCTGAAAAGATTGTTGCTTTGAACACGAAGTTGATCACTGTACTGCCAAAAAAGACGATTGATTGTTGTTTTCCATGGTTTAAGATAGCTGATTTCTTGATACCCAAGTGGGAAAGATGATGAATTCAACGAAAAGAAGTGAGATCTGGAGGAAAATGCGAAGTGGGTATTGGTTTATATGTATAATAGGGAAAAGGAAAGGGGACAAGTTTCCAGGAAATGAAGGTGATTACGTGTAGCTTTGTCAAAGGTGAAATAAATAAAAGAAAACTTCATAAAAGGTCCTTGGATAGTTAAATGACGGAAATATCCTTCGTTTAACGGTAGAAAGCTAACGGAGTTAATAAAAAGGACCAAACATCAAAAGTTTTGAAAGCGCAGGGACCATTTATGAGGTTTTTAAACCACGGGGACTAAACTTCAGATTTTGGGTAACCATAGGGACCATTTATGATGTTTTTTCTTGATTGTACATGAAAATGTTGAAAATGTACTGACTTAGTTTAAAAACACATAATCGTAGACAAAGGAAAGCTTCATTGATTTTGACATGGAAATGATATGATCATAAACAACATGATCCATAATATTATTGATCCAAAACCTATTATAAATTAAAATCTATACAAAAATCAAACATGATCCTAGACGATATGATCCAAAATATTATAATATAAAACTTATTTAGATTTCACACTTTATTTTACAAAATTTCAAGATTTGGTTAAAAATGATATGATTCAAAACTATTTATAAATCAATTTTGTAAAAATTATAATTTAGTTAGAAATGCTGAAATGATATGATTCAGACTATTATGATCCAAAATAATATTATTCATAAAATAATAATTTAAAATGTTTAATATCCTTAATTTTTATGACCTAGATTGTTATAATTCAAATTAGATTGTTATCATTCAAATTGTCATGGGCCTTAATATATTATGATTAAAAAATTTCTTATGATTCAAAATTGCTATTAATCATTAATCTATTATGATTAAAAAAATTCTTATGATCCTTATGAATCGAATCCGTTTAAATTCAACAACAAAATAGGGACTAAAAGTTAAATGCAAGCAACTTTTTTTCTCACATAAATTACAAAATTCGAACATAACGGTGTACATACTTACATGATTTAAAAAAAAAAGTTAAGAATGACATTTTAAGAACTAATAATCATTTTAAGGTTAAAAGTTTCATATACTCAAAAGAACACCATATCGATAATTAAACATATAAATTCACAAAAGTTGTGGATATACATTTCAATTTCTATACAAATTCATGACATCAATCATTCAATTTTTTTACTCTTCTCTACAGACCATCGTTCGATTTGCATGTGAGGTGTTTGAGGAAATGCATCAAAGACTAAAAAGCGGTTCAACTTTTATTATCATCAGACCATTATGAATCAAAGATATCTAAAACTAACTTCTTTAGCATCTACAATACAACTTCAACTATGATCCTATACTCTTTTGTAGATCTTTCTTGTAACGCTCGAAAAATCGTTACCTCATTAGCAAGAAATCAAATTAAAAATGAAATGTCATTAGCAGTAAACAAATGAAAGGAAGTTATAGTACTCCTTGAGACGATTCCGTGGATATAAAGAACATAAAAACAGAGTGCATATGAGGAAGATATGACCATTTTAAAAGTAAGCTGCTATTTTAGATAATGACACATGGCATTCACCAAGACTTAATACTTGGTGCTTGGAATGACACGATGTGGCGTTGGGCAAATAGCCCTTTGAGTCTTCCATAAATGAAAGGAAGTTCTAGTACTCTTCGAGACCATTCCGTAGATATAACGAAGAGTAAATTACACGAATCGTCCCTCATGCAGGTGCCAAAATGCACGTTTAGTCCCTATTTTCAAAAATTAACTCGGACCGTCTCTCGTATTGTTAAAAGTTGCACGGTACATCCCTCGTTAGTTTAAATTTACACGTTTCATCCCTTTTGATACATAAAAAAGACTATAATGTCCTTTTTCTTTTCTTTTTCATTTATTTTGAACATTTTTAATTATTAAAATTATTTTAATTATTTGCTCTGATTATTTTTAATTACTAAAAATTATTTTAGTTATTTTTCTATTTTGTGGAATAAGAACTACCACCACCACCACCGGTAATCTACGCCACCACCAGAAAATGGAGCACCACCACCACTTCTCACCGGAAAATGTAGCACCACCGCTACCCCTCACTTCACCCAACCCACTCCTTCGTTAATGTTAACATGTTTCACCAAAAATAACTACAAACCATCACCTCATTCACCAAACCAACAACATATACTCAACCCACCATCAAAACAAGCACATTTACTGTTAACACCACCACCATCCACCATCGGAAAACCCACCTGCAAAACAAGAATGAATAATTAGGGTAAATTAGGAAGTAAGAGTCAGGGAGATGGAAAATCTGATTTGATACAAAACTGATTGAAAGCAAATGATTTAGGGTTCTTAAATTGAAAGCAAACCTTATTCACTGAACCTGCAAATCTGATTCATTACAGAGGGGGATGGAAAAAGGGGGTTGTAAGTCTGCACTTCGTTCGATCGGTGAACCACCATTGCCAACTGTGAGCCGCCATCGTCACCGGTGCGCTGCCATCGTCGCATCATCTAGGGTTCACATCATTGTGTTATCGCAGAGGAGGACTATCAATGGAGACGATTTGGG